AAAACACTGAATGAGGTATTTCTAAAATGGTTAGGTAACAAAACTGAGAGCTACAGCACAAAGCAATAGCAATTACTTCTAAAAGGATATCCTTTGGTCTCAATAATTTTCTGATTCTTAAAAAAAAAAATAAAAAATTCAGAGGAAGAGGTGTTGTCACTTCTAGAAATGGCAGACCAATATTTCAAAGGGCTCTTCATAACTGTATTAATAGCTTAGGAGTGTCATCGTATAAATAAACAACATATTCCACGGAACAGTGGATTAATTCTAATCCTGAGATGCTTACTTTTTACAGACAAGATGAAATACAGTAAAAAGAGGTTATTCAGAGGATTAATAGTTGAAGCGGGCCTCAAAAAGATTGTGGGAAATAAAAATGGTCATTGGACAGATAATACAAAAATTATAGAAAACGTTCAACAGAGACGAAGCTTAGATTGTGTGGAAGGAAAGAGCATGGTAACAGACACTTTCAGCATTTTGGATGCCAGAAATGCTGAAGTTTTATTTTCAGAGGTGAGGATGCTGAACTCAGACACAGCAGAGGCCAGGAAAGGTGCACCAAAAAATGAAGGTTGCGCTGTTAGTTTTCTGTCTGAATAGGGAGAGGAGAGAGAAACTTGTAGGATGAACAACCATTTTTAGATGTGGGCTTGAGGCGTTATGATAGAAAAAGAAAAAATCAAGAAATTTTGGTCACAGACATGGGAGGGGAACAAAATCTTCCTGCATCCGTGGCAGAAGAAAATTGATGGGGGATTATGAACACCACCCTGCTTGGGAATGAAATCTAATTTTTTTAAAAAGCAAGATTTTGGATGGATTTAATAGCCTGAAAAGAGGGATTTCACTGCCCAGCTTTACACCATTAAAGGAACAAATACTGAAGAAATTTATCAAAACAGTTTGGAACCGACTATGATTATGGCCAGAATTTTTAAAGGACACGGATTTAGAGAATGCATGGCAAATCTAGGGCACATTCTTTGCCAGGGATTATAATACAGAAGATCAAAGCCATTTCAGTGACAGTATTTAAACTTACAGTTTATAAATAAGGTTCATGTTTTCTGGAAAATAAAGAATGCAATACCCACCAGAACCATTTAAACTGTTGGCAAACACAGTGCTGATAGTTTTTGCTATTAGAATAGTAATGCAATCCATGTGTTGCAGAACCACAGTAATTTGAAAAGGAGAGCAATTACAAATATTGGAGATATATTTTTGCCTCCTTTTTTATTTTAAAATAACCACTGAAAAGCTCTGTTTATTCAGGAACATATTTTTTAATCCAAACGAAAACGAGTGCCAAGCACTGTTATACAAGCTTCCTAAATGTATTTGGTTGACTAATGTTCCCATTCCTGCGTGCTTCAAAGTAGTAAAAGAAAAACAAATCTCAAGAAGAACTGACATTTAGATCTGTATCAGTGTAAAGACATAATGCGCAATATTGTCTGCTTACCATCTAATGTAAAAGACAAATTTTGCTGAGTTCACTTAATAACAAGCAAATGGAGGCTGGAAATTAGAGGGCTGGAACTAAGGACTTCTTTACAATAAACCATTAGCGTGTTTAAATTTCAGCCTCCCTAAATTTCTAAGCACTTCTTCATTCAGTGAATTATTTTGCATATATGCAGCATATTATTTAATTAAGTGTATCATGCCTGACTCTTACTGCCTCACTTCAGTCTATTACTTCAGTATGACCACAAAAGTCAGCACCTTGATATCCTACTCCCATTTTATACAATTATGAAATCTCCATAAATGGAGAGGAATTTTTTGGATCAACATGAAATGGAGGAACGTATTTCCCCACACACTTTAAAACCTCCACATTTACAGGCATTGTCCAAAATCACACTTCAAACTAAGGAACCTTGCACAGCAGTGTATAACTCTGAGCTTTCAGTGTGTGCTATAGACATCATTAAGTTCATTCTTTTGTCCGGGAGCAGCTCTTAGAGTTGCTGTATGATTTGCAGAGCTAATTTTCTGTTCTAAACGGAAATAGACTGTCAGGACATGCACAACTTAGTTTTACAGTTTGACTTACATTGCCAGAATAACTTTTTTTCCAAAAGTAATTAGAGGTCATATGTTACTAAGCGATTGAAGAATCCATCCAGTGATGACAAATCTTTATTCCGAGGAGGTTTTACTGCACTGTCCTCTGCCTTACTTCTTTCATGATAAAGCATGGTATGAATTCACACACAGATTATGTCCCTACCGCAAAGGAAATACACGCTGTTGGCAGGTACTTCTGCACACGTGTTATTGTCTGCTGGAACTGAACATTCCCAGGGCTCAGCTGTGCCCGCATTACATACACATTTACAAATCTCTCAGGCAAAAAGCTTGCACGTCATGTTTAGGACCTTGACTGCACGCAAGTTTCCGCACAAACAGAGATTGGCATCCAAATAAAGAACACTGGATATGAACAACATGGTATTTGCATGGTATGTGTTCCTCTGTATGCATGTGGACTTGAATGGGGTGAGATATTTGGATTTCTTCCCAACTTTCTTTACTTGCAAGTAAAAACAAAATTAAAAAGTGGTGTTCATTTAGGAGAAAAAACACTGGAAGGCTATCAGTACAAGTGAACCTGCCTACACCAAGAAGAGAGATTCCAGCCAAAGCAAATGCAGAATGCATGTGCTATGATACTGCATAGGATGCATATACATAATGTATTCCTAATGCTATATTTAGGGTGCTTCTAAAAACTTCTCAAGGTAAGGTACTTCTAAAGAAGAGAGGGTAGAGACAACTGGACTACGTTTATCCTTGGCCTTAACTGTCAGTGAACAGATATCCCTAGAACTTATGGTAGTGGAGCAAATGAAAGGCAAAAGACCAGGTAAATAAGACACTAGATAAAAGGCTTATTGTCTCTGAGACAGTTAATGTGATTGCATTGAAGACACATGGGATGGCCATGCTTGGAAATACCAAGCTACAGGAACAGAGAGGACTGGCAGACTGACGTTCTCAGACTCTAATTTGCAGATGCCTAAATCTTTCTGAATCGAGGTTCTGAAGTTGGCATGATTTGCAATCTGTGAATTTGGACTTGTGGCCTGAAATACAGCCCCCTCTGCATTCCTAGTTAATGTGTCAGTCACCCTCGAGATTGAACAAATAAACCTGGCAGCTCAGTTAATTTGGTCTTAAAGTATAACTTAATTCAGGGGCGTTAAAATCTTAATCTGCGTAGACCCAGTTCAGATTCGGAGCAACACTGAAGTTACACTTCACATTCAAAGTCTGAACTTGATTATTTTTTTTCTTTTCTTCCCTCTGGCACAATGTATAATTACTTATACAAAGTAGAACAGCTTCAACAAGACAGACTGGATGGTTAGACCCTTTAAGAACAGATGTGAACCTGTGTTGCTCTCACTCCAGTGAGTATGCTCAGGTAAATTCTTTTAGATTAGCCTTTTTCTGTCTGGACTGAATCAAGGTTGTTCACAAATGCAGAGGTAATCTCTGTAGACACTCACTCTCTTGTGACAGCCCAGCTTAAACCTGTAGGCTTTGCAGAACATCAGTCTGAGCTGAAGTGTGCAACCCATCCCCTGTCCCAGCCCCCTCCACTGCCAGCACACACCTCTCTCTGACTTCCCAGCTCTGCTGCCCAAAATCAGTGAGAAGCCAGTGAAGACGGAGGAATATCAAGATACCCAGCCTGACTCCTAGAAACTCTTCACTGGAACATTAAGAAATACCATGCGAATGGCTGTTACAAACAGGTGCCAAATCACAGAGGGGAGAAGAAGTAGCTCTTGAGGCTTGGGCTAAATATGACCTTGAAGGTCATTCCTGAACCTGATCTCCATCCAGTAGGTTTTGCAGTGAAAGTGAAGAAAAAGAAAAATAACCAAATGCTCCAGTGCCTGCATGCTTACACGTGCTCTTTAACAGCAAAGAAGGTTTGGGTCTAGCAGATACCTGAAAGGTGGGTTTGCAGCAGACCTTCTTGGGAAAGCCTTCCAGGAGCCCTGACCACTGTCAACGAGCACTCTTGGCTCTGTAAGGGGGAGCTTGCATTGCCCCTCCCAGCCTGCACCACCTGGTCTCGCTTCTAGCAGTGGTTCAAGTGGTGATGGAATAGCCAGAGGCTCCCAAATTACCCACTTTGCAAAACTGTGTGCTCTAAAGCCTGGCTGCAAAGCAGTGAGTACCACAAGGGCCTCCTTCAGGCAATACCTGCAGTGACATCTTCGACCTGGTGCTATTTTTGCCTTGCACCTAAACTTAAGTCTGCTCCATGCAGCAACAATAGCACAAAAATATGTATAAAGCAGAAAATTCCTAATCAGATTTAGAAGGGTTATCACATCCATCTACATCGTATAATTTAAATATTATTTGAACAGAAACAACAGCCAGTCATTCAGCCAGTGGTTATTAGATAACAATAGGAAATTAGAGGATAATTTATTTCCTACATTGTTGTGATCCAAAGTGTTCATTAATCTGAACTCCTAAACTGGCTTTTATTTAGACATACAGTAAAAAATAATGCCTTCATTAGTTTATATACTTTCATTGACTTCAGATACTACACATGCTACCGGCTTTAATCAAATAAAATACTTAACACTATTTTTCTTTTCTCGGTTTGTAACTGTAACGTATTTTCAATTTTCATTCTCATACTAATAAATGTCTGATACTACTTACATTTGTCAACAACTAAAGCCATCCAGTAAAGAATGCAGTATGTTACACGCTCCCCGCAGTCAGTTATTTCAGCATCGGCAATATTTACGAACGTGGGTTTTGCAAGTTTCCATACGACTCCGTACGCAATGCGAACGTGGGCCCATCAGCCCCTCACCACTCACCTTACAGCTGGCCATCTCCTTTTTCCACAAGTGCACAGGAAAAAAAAAAACAAAACAAAAACCCAAACAACAACAGCACCAACAACAACTAAGTGGGTTTGCAGTGTGTTTGAAAGGCTGACTAACCTCAGGTTTGGCATTCCAAAGACCAGGGCGAGAACAAACACTTTCGTTTTCATCTGTCAGCTCCCACACCACTCAAATGGAATTGCGTAGGGAGATTTTTTCCTGCCTTGCTTCAAATAAATGGGTGTTGTGTTTACATACTGCATAGTGAGCATTGCCCATCCGAAGCCAAGGGCTGCATCTTGCCAACTCCTAACTTTCGTACAATATGGCGATTACATGAGCCAGCATACCATTAAGTCACAGAACAAAACTTGGAGAATGGCACTGTCAGCTTGCAGAACTGTACCTGAACAACTGACATGCGGTGCACAAAAGGGGAAACTGGATTTCAGTGCAATGGCAGAACTGGGTCAGAAGCAGACTGGGTTAGCAGCCTCACTTTAAATGACAAAGCCAAATGCCAGATCACGGAGATAAAAACTTACAGGCACGCGATACAAGCAGGCGAACCAAAAAAAAAAAACCCAAAAGATCACTAAACACGCTTTACAAAATGCTTCCACACCCTAGAGTCTTCCAGGTCATCTGCTGTTTACTCTCCGTACAAAACTTTATTCCAAAATGTTTTTGCCAGATGCAGTACTTGCAAACTGGCCTTCCCTAAATAGAGTCAAAACCAGGGGAGAAGAGAAAGAGACCTTGGTCTATTACTCCCCGTGACTGGAAAAACATCTTTCTGGCTCAAGCAAGTTCTCTTTTTCTATCTGATGAGCAGCAGATCTATAGCTACCATGAGCTCCAAATGTCTTCCAGTGCCTAGTGTTCATTTTTTTGCAGAGCGAGCAAGAAAGATTGGAGATGAGAGTTCAGTATTTCCCCTAAAACATTGACTCTGCAAAGCTTGCACCAATGTATCAGATACCTGCCTTGTGATTCTGATTTAGCCTGCCGATACGAGACCGGAGCGGGCAATTTGTGTACTAATTCTTTTTCCAGGTACTGTTCCATAATAATTTCTACAGAGGCTTCCGCTTCAGTGAGACAAACACACTACGCTTAGGACAACCTAAGAAGGTCATTTAACTACCAGCATTAATGTACACATTCAGAGGTAAAAAGCCGAGCTCAGACCTAACACCCTTCTAATACTGGGGTTTCTAAGAGGCTGCACACCTAACCTCCTGCTGAAGATCAAGTGTTTGAACCAAGCAGCTGTGATACCTTAACATCAGCAGCCTTCTGAGCTAGCTCCATGGGTGACCCCTCCTTGCAGCATATTTCTTAGTAACTTAATCCTATTTAGATTGTCTCAAAATCAAACAAAGAACAAGCAAATTAGAAACCTCTTACATGTTTTTGCAAGATTGTATCACACTAGCACCACTCACCTGGTTTTATCCAAAATGTAAAAGGCTGTCCAGACATCAGTGATATTTTATTTATTGTAATACTGGAATGCAAAATGACAGAAACTTGCTTCTGATAACAGTTTTAATTACTAAGTACATAAGCCTGCAAATCCTCTCATACAAGTAATCCTTCAATAAGATTAATCCATGGAAATAGTCCCATTGAAAAAGGATTTGTATGACTGGACCCTAAATGTTTAATCACATTTTTAAAGGCATTATTACTTAAAAAATATATATATCCAGGAGGTGCTGGTATGTTTAAAACAGGGGGCTATATATTTACCAAACTGGCTAGTTTCAGAAACAATCCTTCTAGGACTGACGCTGTTGGGGAGCTTGCTTCTGCAGTTCCTGTTGTTTCTCAGGTTAAGACTGAGTTAAATAAACTGACCAACCTGCTCCCTTTGAGTCTCGTGTTCAGCACGACTCTTCTCTTTCAGCACTTTCGTTGCACTGACGTATGACTCAGCTGCTCCTTCAGCTGCACTAGTTCTACATTATCCCTGTGTAACGTTACTTCAAATATCAAAATCCCTGGTTTATTTTAAGCACTATCCAGGTATTCTTAAGTGTTTTCAAGGCTCAGCGATGCAGTAGTTCCCACTTTCTGTACTATGTCTATTGCAGAATATTTTATTATAAGAAATGTTAACTTCTTTCCTGGCTTCCCAATCCTGTTCTTTTCACTACACCAGTTACCAGTCTAGACAATGGCAAAAGTAGCCACAGGAGAGTGAAAAGATTAATATTTACTTTAATGTGCCAAGTGCCCCAATAGGCTTAAGTCTTCTTTCTTGGGTCTGCTTCTCTTGCTCTCTCTATGCACGTGGGTCTTCACAGTTTTAGTGGAAAGTCTTCCTCGGAGTATCTCCTGCTCTGATCCCCTCAGAATGATTAAAGGTATGGTATCACATTTATTTGCTAATCCTCAAAATGAAGCAAACAATCCTTTGGAGAGCTAGGAGTCTGTCACTGTCTCCAAAAGCAGGAAGCGTAACTGCTTGAAGGCTGACAGATGCTTCACCACCATGACAAGAAGCTGTTCCACAGGCTACAGCTCATGAGCCCCTGAGTCAAGCCATATGGTTCTGAATGCCAGGACTGCCTGTCTTTCCCAGTTTATTGGAAGAGAGGGATTATTCCTGCTTTGCTCTGAATTTGCAAAAGTACCCTGTTGGTCTTAGAAGTTTACAATTTGTGTGAACTAAAATGCTTGAGCACGTGAACTAATAAATCCTCATTTGTTTGCTGAAGTTCTTTCTTCTCCGAAGAAACAGCTCTACACGTATGCTTCTGTGGGCTAGGATAACATCTTGTGACTTTATTGCTATCCACTCTGACATTAAATGAATGCATATAACTAAGCTCACATAAATACGGCTCTTACGCTTTAAGAGACACTTCCCGACCAATAATCTATTCAGCATATTTGACCAAGCTTGTATATAGGGTCGGAAACAATAGCTTTGAGGTGCAAGCATCTTTAGTCATCTAAAGGGAACAGCAGCAATGGATATAGACTGTTAGAATTCAGAACTGATCATTTAAGATAATACCTCCCTGCACTTCACTGTCACAAAAATTAAGTCTCCAAGTTGTAACTCCCTAAGCATGGCCACATTCTCTGGTGCTAGGGCAGCTGAGATTTAAATATTTCAGAAAGCAAGTATTTCTAATTTCTGTCATCTCTTGAAAAACTGTTTAACTGCCCAAAAGACTTCAGTAAGGTCTTTCCTTTTTTTTTTTTTCCAAACTATATTTTATGTCTTTTCCAATGCCAAAGTGTCTTCAGGCTACTGATGTATGGGCGACCCAGCAATGGCCAAGAAACAGGCGAAGGCAAAAGGTATCTAGCTTCTGACCAAGAAGTGGAGGGGAAGGCAAGAGCCCCCAGCGCAGGACCAGCGGTGTGGTGTGTCCACGCACTGCTCTCCCAGAGCTCCATCCCGCACACCGAGTCACCCCGGCTCTCCCTGAGGTCAGCCCGGACGGCGGGTACCCCACCTTGCAAAAAGTCAAGCCTAAAAGTTTCTAGCGACAGCTGCTTCTTTTTACGAGATGATTTTTCCACTCGTGCCTGTCCCCATCCTTTCTTTAAAAACAAAAACAAAAAAAACCACCCAAACCAAAAACCCGCGCGGCGCAGCGATCGCAACCTCTACCGAACTTGGAGAAATGCCGGCAGGACCCCAGAAGGGCACAGGGAGGCTCTTCCCGGCGGGGTGAGGGAGGGCGAGGGGCGCAATGCCGGGGGCTGCCCGCAACACCGGCCCGGCGCCGCACGCTGGAGCGGCGTGAGCGGAGCCGGGGAGCGGAGCAGCCGGTACCGCCGCCTCCCGCCGCCCCGCGTTCTGGCGCCCGGCTCTCCCCGGTGTAACGCGGGCCACTCATTTATCAAGGCAATTTTTCCAAGCGCCTGCTGAGATCTCCCACGCACGGCTCAGCCGCCGCTCCGGCCGCTCGCCGCAACTTTTCCACGGGCTGGCGGGCGCCGAGGGCGAGACCCAGCCGTGATTTTTGCGTCCTCCCCTCCCGCTCCCCGAAATCGCTCCCCAGCGGCACCGTTTCCCAACCCCCGGAGCCCCTCAC